TCAATTACCAAAAAAGCAATCGTACAGGGGAAGCTCTAACAACTTCAGGTCTAAAGGAAAAAAGTAATAGGGAAAAGATGAATGTGCCTGTAAGGGAAAAAGACCATATTGTTTTGTGGGAGAAAGAATCTTAATTTTTGAATTGGTGATGAAAGTCTTGGTTAAACTGTGCTGCTAATGAAGCAACTGCAAAATCAAGTGCCCTCCTGTAGTCTTGGTGCAGCGGAAAGTCTCTCTCGCCAGCGTGTGAGAGGCCCTGGGACTCGCGGTACTGAAACTGCTGGAGCTCTTGCATCGCGTGTGGTGGGCGTGCAGGGGCAGCTGCAGCATGCTCTTTTAGTGAACGTTGTCGCACTCATGCTGCATACTACGGGTTGAGGGGCTCTTATCTGAAATACTTGGCACCAGAAGTGTTTGGAATTTTGAAATTCCTTGGAACGTTACCAGGATTAGAATGGGGAGAGAAAATGGAGATGTAGGTCAAAAGACGCAAAGTGTTGTTTCTTTCTCTAAAGCAAGTGAGCAGCGCAGTGCAGGGCAAACTGCTGGAGCTCTTGCATCGCGTGTGGTGGGCGTGCAGGGGCAGCTGCAGCATGCTCTTTTAGTGAACGTTGTCGCACTCATGCTGCATAATACGGGTTGAGGGTCTCTTATCTGAAATACTTGGCACCAAAAGTGTTTGGAATTTTGAAATTCCTTGGAACGTTACCAGGATTAGAAATGGGGAGAGAAAATGGAGATGTAGGTCAAAAGACGCAAAGTGTTGTTTCTTTCTCTAAAGCAAGTGAGCAGCGCAGTGCAGGGCTGGAAGTCCTTCCCCTGGAGGCTCCTCTTCACCGCTGTCCTGCGGGGCTGCCTCAGAAAGCGGCTGACATGTCAGCCATCTCCCTGTGGTGCCTGTGTTTGGTGCAGGAGCGTCTCCTCACCAGGACCCACTTTTGTCTTTTTCTGTGCACTCATGAGCACTCCTGAGACCATGCCTGAGATCACACGGCCTGAGCGGGACGAGGTCCTGAGTTAGGGTGGACGCACTGGGCCGCCCTGCACCTGTGAACCATTCTCGCCCTCAGGCTCTGCTTGAACTTGCTCTTACGCACGTCTCTTCCCTGTGATAACGGACGCCGCTGCGTGCCCAGCTTCCCGGCACGGTAGCTCAGACAGCACCCAGCTCATGGTGGATATGCATTCAGGCTGTCCTTAGTCCCCGTAGCAGGTCAAGGGGTATTTCTCGACAGAGTAGTTGTCCACAGTGGGTAAGGCTTAGCTGCAACATCTTACAATCTGAGCTTTAATTCATCTACTGGGGCAGCCAAAATCTCCAACCGACATCCCTACCTGCCCCCACCCCGCAAGTACTGTTGGACTGGAGCTGAGGCACGGCCTCTTCCTGCTCGGGACCTGACTGGAAACCCACGATCACTCACCTACATGGGCCAGAATGACATACCCCAATGTGTTCCTTCCCAAATGCAAAGACCCACGAGCATTGTGACCCTTTTTCTGCTGTGTGTGGGGGGTGTCCATTGCAACGACGTACTCTTCACCTTAGAAAGGATATCTCAACGTGCTCCTCACCAGTGGACCCCTAGAAATGTCAAAGGTGAAAGCCCTTGAATTGTAGGCAGATGCCTCACCAGGAAGCCTGGAGTGGTTGCTACCTGATTGACTTCGCCAGGTCCAATCAGCATGATCCCAGCAGTGTAATGAGCCAGGGCAATGTCTGGTGGAAGTGGAGGCTGATCAAGAACCTTGCAAAAAAGTTGTGACAAAGGACTGGGGACCTGACGACCTGAGGTAGGACAGCAGAGGCACATTGCTGGCCTTTCTAGGTGAAAGCAAACGATTTGCAGCGGACATTGTGGACAGATATGCATAAAAAGGTCACCAGTCTGATTATTTGGTTGTTCCTAGTACCTAGTACCCTGCTAAAAACCCTACGTTCCCTGGGGAAGGCTTGGAAAACATTAACAGTACACGAGCTTTTGGTAGAGGACCAGGGCACTGCTTGCAGGGGATACAGCCTCCTCTCTATTCAAGGGTTCTTGTTCTGGGCTGGCGCTGTTGCATAGTGGTTAAACCCCGTATGTTGGAAATCAGATCCCACATTTGAACTATGGTTCAAATCCTGGACCCAGCACTTTAAAAAAACATACCAGACATGTGTGTGCAGTGCCCAGAGTCTTGATGGGGTGAAGCAGCAGAGAAAAGGGGGCTGCAGAGAGATCACACCCTGTGTCCGCTCTGTTTCTGACTCTCTCTCTCTCTCTCTCACTATATCTATCTATATATCTATACATATCTACATAGAGTCACCACATATATATGTACATGGTTGTCAGGAAAGTCATGACACATTTGTGAGTAGAAAAACAGAAACATACTTGACTTTCCAGATGACTTATATATATATGGGGGGTGGCAGTTATAGTGAGAAAGGGCTGAAGAAAGCAAAAAATAAATGACGAAAAGCAGATTGACCGTTTCCCAGTGACTTTCCTTAGGAACTTAAAGCAGAGGGGCTTCCTCATCATGTTGGCTTGGACTGGCCCGTTGGGTCATTCGGCTCTTTCTCTGTTAAGATCGAGTTTCCCCGTGGTCATCCTGCCACCTCCGCTGTCCTTGGGATTACGGGTGCCCGCAGCCATGCCTGGGCTTTAGACTGGGGTGGGACCCACACCTGTGGCTGCTGTGGGTTCCAGGTACAGAAAACAGCGCTCGGCAGTTGGTGCCACCACAGCTAGACCAGAGGTTTGGCTTTTCCCTCTCTCCTGGTTGCTCAGAATGCCGGATGAGCAGCTTGGTTGTGTCCTGGTGATGAGGAG